CTTGGCTCTAACACGTAATTTTTCAACGTCCACATTTTGTAAGACAAGCATTTTGTGCGAGCATGGGCCTTCTCACGTCATGTCGAATATTTTGTACTACAATAGAGGCTGCTACTGCTTGGCTCTAACACGTAATTCTTCAACGTTCACATTTTGTAAGACTAGCATTTTGTGCGAGCATGGGCCTTTCCTGTCATGTCGAATATTTTGTACTACAATAGAGGTTGCTACTGCTTAGTTCTAACACGTAATTCTTCAATGTGCACATTTTGTAAGATAAGCATTTTGTGCGAGCATGGGCCTTCTCACGTCATGTCCAATATTTTGTACTACAGTAAAGGCTGCTACTGCTTGGCTCTAACACATAATTCTTCAACTTCCACATTTTGTAAGACTGGCATTTTGTGCGAGCATGGGCCTTTCCTGTCATGTCGAATATTTTGTACTACAATAGAGGTTGCTACTGCTCTAGCTATAACACGTAATTCTTCAACGTCCACATTTTGTAAGACAAGCATTTTGTGCGAGCATGGGCCTTCTCACGTCATGTCGAATATTTTATACTACAGTAAAGGCTGCTACTGCTTGGCTCTAACACATAATTCTTCAACTTCCACATTTTGTATGACAAGCATTTTGTGCGAGCATGGGCCTTCTCACGTCATGTTGAATATTTTGTACTACAATAGAGGCTACTACTGCTTGGCTCTAACACGTGATTCTTCAACGTCTACATTTTGTAAGACAAGCATTTTGTGCGAGCATGGGCCTACTCACTTCATGTCGAATATTTTGTACTACATTAAAGGCTGCTACTGGTTGATTCTACCACGTTATTTTTCAACTTCCACATTTTGTAAGACAAGCATTTTGTGCGAGCATGGGCCTTCTCACGTCATGTCGAATATTTTATACTACAGTAAAGGCTGCTACTGCTTGGCTCTAACACATAATTCTTCAACTTCCACATTTTGTATGACAAGCATTTTGTGCGAGCATGGGCCTTCTCACGTCATGTTGAATATTTTGTACTACAATAGAGGCTACTACTGCTTGGCTCTAACACGTGATTCTTCAATGTGCACATTTTGTAAGACAAGCATTTTGTGCGAGCATGGGCCTACTCACTTCATGTCGAATATTTTGTACTACATTAAAGGCTGCTACTGCTTGATTCTACCACGTTATTTTTCAACTTCCACATTTTGTAAGACAAGCATTTTGTGCGAGCATGGGCCTTCTCACGTCATGTCGAATATTTTGTACTACACTCAAGGCTGCTACTGCTTGGCTCTAACACGTAATTCTTCAACGTCCACATTTTGTTAGACAAGCATTTTGTGCGAGCATGGACCTTCTCACGTCATGTCGAATATTTTGTACTACAATAGAGGCTGATACTGCTTGGCTCTAACACGTAATTCTTCAATTTCCACATTTTGTAAGACAAGCATTTTGTGCGAGCATGGGCCTTCTCACGTCATGTCGAATATTTTGTACTACAATAGAGGCTGCTACTGCTTGGCTCTAACACGTAATTCTTCAACGTCCACATTTTGTAAGACAAGCATTTTGTGCGAGCATGGGCCTTCTCACGTCATGTCGAATATTTTGTACTACAATAGAGGCTGATACTGCTTGGCTCTAACACGTAATTCTTCAACGTCCACATTTTGTAAGACAAGCATTTTGTGCGAGCATGGGCCTTCTCACGTCATGTCGAATATTTTGTACTACAATAGAGGCTGCTACTGCTTGGCTCTAACACGTAATTCTTCAACTTTCACATTTTGTAAGACTAGCATTTTGTGCGAGCATGGGCCTTCTCACTTCATGTCGAATATTTTGTACTACAATAGAGGCTGATACTGCTTGGCTCTAACACGTAATTCTTCAACGTCCACATTTTGTAAGACAAGCATTTTGTGCGAGCATGGGCCTTCTCACGTCATGTCGAATATTTTGTACTACATTAAAGGCTGCTACTGCTTGGCTCTAACACGTAATTCTTCAACGTCCACATTTTGTAAGACAAGCATTTTGTGCGAGCATGGGCCTTCTCACGTCATGTCGAATATTTTGTACTACAATAGAGGCTGCTACTGCTTGGCTCTAACACGTAATTCTTCAACGTCCACATTTTGTAAGACAAGCATTTTGTGCGAGCATGGGCCTTCTCACGTCATGTCGAATATTTTGTACTACAATAGAGGCTGCTACTGCTTGGCTCTAACACGTAATTCTTCAACGTTCACATTTTGTAAGACAAGCATTTTGTGCGAGCATGGGCCTTCTCACGTCATGTCGAATATTTTGTACTACAATAGAGGCTGATACTGCTTGGCTCTAACACGTAATTCTTCAACGTCCACATTTTGTAAGACAAGCATTTTGTGCGAGCATGGGCCTTCTCACGTCATGTCGAATATTTTGTACTACAATAGAGGCTGATACTGCTTGGCTCTAACACGTAATTCTTCAACGTCCACATTTTGTAAGACAAGCATTTTGTGCGAGCATGGGCCTTCCCACGTCATGTCGAATATTTTGTACTACAATAGAGGCTGATACTGCTTGGCTCTAACACGTAATTCTTCAACGTCCACATTTTGTAAGACAAGCATTTTGTGCGAGCATGGGCCTTCCCACGTCATGTCGAATATTTTGTACTACAATAGAGGCTGCTACTGCTTGGCTCTAACACGTAATTCTTCAACGTCCACATTTTGTAAGACAAGCATTTTGTGCGAGCATGGGCCTTCCCACGTCATGTCGAATATTTTGTACTACATTAAAGGCTGCTACTGCTTGATTCTACCACGTTATTTTTCAACTTCCACATTTTGTAAGACAAGCATTTTGTGCGAGCATGGGCCTTCTCACGTCATGTCGAATATTTTGTACTACAATAGAGGCTGCTACTGCTTGGCTGCTTCAAGCGTCGTGTCAAATGTTTTGTATTACGGTAATGGCTGCTACTGCTTGACTCTACAACGTAATTATTCAACGTCCACATTTTGTAAGACAGTTACTTTCTTACTTTACTTTACGCTAGTAGCTAAATAACTTGTACTACAATTAAAGACGGTACAGCTTGGCTCTATTACGTTATTTATCAACATTTACATTTTCTCTGAAAATAAAATAAAATAGTCCTCTATTTTTATTAATAATTATAATTTTTTATTTTTGTAAGGTTTTTATAATTAAGAACGATAACAATTGTACTATTTTAGAAAAATATATGTACATTTATTAAAAGCCTTGCTTTTAATATTATTATAATAAGCCAGAAAAGAGAAAAATAACTGGCAATTATTGAAAACCTCAAGAATAATGTGTCCGTTAGCAGTTAAAAATGCATCGTTTTAATTAAATATTTATTCATTCTATTTTTTAAACCTGGGTTTACCGTATAAAAGCAAAGATATACATCATTGTTTAATAAAAAATAGCGTATAGTAGTGGATTAAAAGGATACATCGTTCCGTAGGTCTCAAAAGTTGGTGGGATACATCGTTATGTAATATTTTTTTAATAAAAGTATTTTTTAGATATGGTATTGCAGCAAAAAATATACATCCAAGTTAGCATTATGGTGCAGTGGGATAATCACAGCGCTGATATTCTGCAGGTGCCCTTTCCTTATATTTATAAGCAGTCACTAAACATTATTTTTACATTTTACGTTGTTGTTTATGAGTAAAAATAGGTAAACTCATGCACGTCTGAGCAGGAGAAGCATTACCAAGTCATAATCATCATCATTACAGCCCATCACAAGTTCACTGCTGAACAAGGGCACCCTTATTCATCGACTTTGCAGCTCGAACACAGGTAATCTGTGAGCACCAAGATTACTGATTGGGAAGAAAGGTTCTCGTATGGTAAACGGAGTGTAAGACGGCCTACTTGATGAAATGAGAACCTGGTAAGAGATTAATAAGTAAATTAAATTAAATATGCCAAAAGACAACGATATGTGCTGGCAGCGTAAAAGAATTTAGCACCATGTCGTCGCGTGAGTATCGTAATAATGACTACGATGTAAATAGCAAAGGTGAAAAACATTCTAGCGTATTTTAACAAATGTAACAAAATGTAAAAAAAAAACATTATATCGACGCATCCATTACAGTCTATAAAATTCCACTGCTGAACATAGGCCACGCCCATAGATTGTTGCATGGGAGGATTTTGCCATATTTGCCACGCTTGGCACGTTGGTTAGCAACCGAAGCTTTTTATCATTTTGAGATGAGATCAACAAGATTCTACTGCCCATCTCCTGTTTCAACTTCTCTGCGCCGCCTCTTAAAACACGGGACGATATGGAGCAGTGGATATTCATACACTGCCATTATACGCTTAATATGGCACTCCATTAACCTCCAATAATAAATTTCCAATCCAATATCAGAGTTAAAATCTTAAAACTACTTGATGACATATGCAAGATTTTAACGTTGTGTTACGTTATGCATAGTCGCGACTTAATGTTTATTGAATTTATGACATTATCGATGTTATCAATAATTACTTTTAAACAGTAGTGCATATATCTACGTAGACATTTCCGCGAACTGTTTTCTAAAACATTAACCAATTGGAACAACATAAGTTTAATGAAATTTGTTTAAAGCTTTAATTTGTCCTTTCGCAATTAACTTTTGTTAAAACATATACTGCCCAATGGTCTACGCTAGTTTTGACTTCTTACATATACCTAAAAGGAATCAAACTGTATAGTCTGATTTATGTCCTAAAATAATAGGTTTCACATCCAGATATACCTATTTCTAAACGGAAAGCTCTAACAATTATCGTTCATCCACCTTACTTTAATATATTCGACCAGCTCGATGCCTTAACAACAGAAATAAAAACAAAAAGTGGAACGAGCAAAAAGTTAGGAGCGTTGTAAACACTCCACCGATCATGACATAAGCTACTTTGTATATAAGCCGAGGCTTTGGCTGCGATCAGTACAGTCTAACAAAATGGCTCGACTTGTTGTGGTATCACTGGCACTTGGCTTATTTGTCTGCATCCACGCAGCTCCAGGTACGATACAATAGAAATTTAATATTTAATTATGATATAAAAACTGAAATGTGTATATTTCACAACAAATCTATTAGTTAGCATATTAATTATATATCAATAATTTTTCATTTTTAACCGGCTTCAAAACAGAGGTTAATTAAAATTGAGATTAATTCCACTGTTTTTATTTTAAAAATATACTACGTACTGATTGCAATATCCTTGAGGATTTAATCATATTTAACAATTAAAGTGGGGGTGTTTGTTCTAAAAGTATATTCTCACAGTGATCCTGTAAAAAATTGATACAAATCCGATAATATTTAAAGGCGATATTTTCTTACAGAATTATCTATATAGAGTTATAGATATAATAATACTTCTGAACTACTTCACCGATTGAGATCATATTCACACGATATGTTTAGTTTGTCAAGACGATGGGTGATGGGTGATGGCCTGGACCCGAAAGATGGTGTTATTGTCAGATTAATAATAAATAACAGATTAATAGACAACGGAATTTTGGCAAAAAATAAAATTGCAAAATGTGACGAATTCTGAGTTAAAGCTCATCACGCCAACGAAAAGAGTAAAACGTCTACCGGGCTATTTACCTAGTACTATGTAAAATTAAATAAATGATAGACAAAGTCAAAGCTGTAATATGTTTTAAAACTATTAATCATACCAAAGCATATCTCTACGTGGCAGTATGGTTGTAGCACGAATGGGTCAGCTCAACAACGGATAGACCACGCTCTCACGGAATACCAACGTAAAATAGGAGAATAATGCTGTGAGTCGTATAATGAATATAAAGAACTGCAAACCATTTTTACTAGTAAAGGGGGCATTCCATATTCATTGATTCCTAATCGAGGGTAAATGTAGATATATAATATAGGCCACAACATTCACTTACCATCAGATGGACTATGTGCTCGTTTTTCACCTTTATTATAAACAAAACATGTACATAAATATAATATAATACGAGTACATAATTTCAACCATGTTTTAGGTTATGGCGGTGGAAGTAGCATAAGCGGCGGCTTCGGCGGCGGTGGCGGCGGCGGCGGCGGCGGTGGATTCGGGGGAGGCGGTGGCCATGGGGCTGGTTTAGGCGGCGGCGGTGGATTCGGAGGAGGCGGCGGCCATGGAGGTGGTTTAAGTGGTGGCCACGGCGGGAGTAGTGGAATTGGCGGAAGCATAGGAGGCGGTCTAGGAGGTGGTAATGGAGGCGGTCTAGGAGGTGGTAATGGAGGCGGTCTAGGAGGTGGCCATGGAGGCAGTCTAGGAGGTGGCCATGGAGGCGGACTAGGTGGCGGCCTTGGAGGCGGTCACGGCGGTGGCCACGGAGGCGGTCTAGGCGGTGGAAGCGGAGGCGGTCTAGGCGGTGGAATCGGAGGCGGACTAGGCGGTGGAAACGGAGGTGGCCATGGAGGTGGATTAGGTGGCAATGGCGGCGGTCATAGCGGATCTGGTCACGGTGGACACGGAAGCGGCGGCTTTGGAAGTGCAAACGCTCAGGCCAGTGCAAGCGCTAACTCTGGCGGAGGCTATGGCCACAAAGGAGGTTACGGGTAAGCATAACTTTTCTTTACTTTAGTTTTTATCAAAATATTTTTTAATAAATCAACGGCAATTTTACTTATTCAAATTTGGGCTCCACAAAGCATTATTTGAAAGACAAGCTATGGTATCGCTTCAACAAGTCCCCACTGTGAGGCTTATTAAAATAGAGGCCGAAATAAGATTTCATAACATAAGCACCACTATGCAACCCTTCACAAGTTTACAACTGTACATAGACCTATGTAATGCTACAAAGCATGGTCTTGAGCCATCTGCATCTATCGACTTCAAGCGTGTCTCGTCAGGTCTTCACTCCACTTAGTGGCGAGCGAGTGGAAGGAAAGGGACGAATATCCCTTTCCTTCTCTTTCGGCTATTGGTATATATATTAAATTCGTCAAGCTATATGTATGGCTGGATCATTGCCACTTAAGCTTTCTTAACCATTACGTTACGTCGGTTACTCTGGTTCCTTTGCAAATACGGATTCTATCATGCAAAAATACTCCAAACATAACCGTCTCCATAGCTCGCTGATCGACCTTAAGCTTCCTCATATAGTTATATTACGCAATTTTATTTTATTATATGTATTTGATTAACTAAATATTCTTATAGCAAAATATTTGTTTGAGTTCTTTCTTTGTTTGTGACAGTCGCGTTAGTGGTTAGAGTGCCTTACCACCGCGTCGCGGATCCTAGATTCGAAATTCAGTTTGTTAGGATAATAGGTTTAATAGGTAAGATCAACGCTTCCGAGGCTGCATGTCAGCCGATCTCCGATTTTATCGTATAAGCATTAATTAGGCTTAAGGCAATTTAGTCAATTAAAAACTAAGTTGTCAAAACAAACATTTCAATAGAAATTATAAGACATTATAGTGTAAGGACGTCATAATTTTTAGTCAAATCTTATTTATATATTAATAATATTAAATACTTAAAGAAAAAAAAATATAATGGAAAATCGAAAATGTTTTGAGACACTAATCAACTTAGCAAATACAAATTATAAAGGATTATTTTATTAATGATGCTGTCAACTACCCAAATGGGATTGTGTAAACCAAGGAAGAGTTTATTCCTGAGTATAGACCCGTAAATAAATAGTATAAGACCTGAGCAGCTAACAGTACAGTGGCAATGTAATATCCACTATCGAATGTCGCCCCGTGGGTGTCCTATGAGATGACAGAGGGAAAGAAACCGGGAGATGGGCACCAGCTTCTTTCTAATAAAAAATAATAATAAAAAAACTGCGGTTTTACCCCGACTGCCAAACGTTCAGCAATGGTCTTTTTATAGCCTGTTAGGGTAACTAATATAACAGTATTAGTGGTATAACTCCTGCGCAGTTAAAGCAATTCCGTATTTGAACCGAAGATGCAACTGTAATGTCTATAATTTTTATCTTCTTTTTATTTTCCAGACGTTAAACATTCAGCGTTACTCAAAAGTTGAAGGGATATGCTCCAGCTACGCCCTAGCATAATTGGTTCAAAATTTCTCAATGTGATAATAGATAATTCTTTATATATGTATGTAAAAATATAACATAAAATGTATTTTAAAATAATTAATCTTGTTTTTAATCAAAATTTCCAAAACTTTTTACATATAACACTCAAAAATACATAAACACTCACGCCTGTCACCCAAAAGGATAGCCACAGACTATGGACTTCATTTGGCATGATCCTAACACACCTCTCTCGCCTACTTTACATCCATATTTACATGCATACATGCTCGTACCGTTACTTTTAACGTTTAACGGTACTTTTAATCTGGCGCATGTGCAATATAATATTTAAAACTTTTTTTACACTAATTTAATACATAAACCACATTACATATTCACATGGTGGACCCTGCGATGATTATTGCTGCGACACCAATGCCGACTTATGGGGAAGGGATCACGCTCACAAATAATCCTACGTAAAATAACAGCATAATTCTGCTGTTCGTGGGGTGAAGCAGTAGATTGGAGGCTCTTTTTTATAGGTTAGACATTCCATCTTAGTCCTCAAAGGTGACAACGTGTCTACTGAGTTTTAATTTTTAATTGAGGGTAAATGGGGACACCTTCGTATAGAGTAGAGGATGTGGAAGTGGGGAGTGGGGCAGTTAAATTATCTCTTAAAGCTTTATTGGTGTAAATATGTACGTACATGTCGAGTATAATAATAATAATGTCCTCCAGACCGAATTTCGGTCAGGGCGGCAAGTGTCAACGGAGACTAGCCATATGCGCAGTACACGATTATAGTACCTACCCGAGTGTATGCGCGAGCACAGGTGCACTCTCCTCAAGGAGAGATATCGGGCGCAGGAGGGCCGAGGCACTCTCGTAAAACACTGCAAACTCCCTAACTTTGGGCTGCTATTGAGAATTTCTAAACAAAAACCCCAAGTATAGCACTAAAACGAAACTTTCTCCCTTGAAACGTTATTAGAATGTTAAATACACTCATAGACATATTGCGTTCTTTCATACTGCGAATATTTTTGACAACTTTAGAATTTAAATTAAAGAAAAATTGAGTTTAAATTTAGGTTTTGTTAAAATTTTTGGCTTGACTGCCTTGTTTATCGTGTTAAGTGTTAATTGTTCCTGCAAAAAATATGATCTAAATACTACTCAGGCTAGGGGTGTTACTTTACTTGAAACTGAGTACACCTACAAACATGTGGGCCAAACGTTACTGTATCAAAATCTGTGGTACACCAAGTTGTCAAGAGATATCGGCAGACTGGACGGTATAAGAGACTCGCAGGACCGGACGTAAACGGAAAACTGTGGCCAGAGATAACTGGTTCATCGTTACTAGCGTGCTCAGAAAGCGAACCTTAACTTCTTACTGTCTTCTGTTCCTGTGAGAAAAGACTGAAATCGGCCGAAATAAATTCTCACTTGTCTGTTCAAGACCCCTTCTTGCCACATACCATCGAGTAGCTCAAGTTAATTTCGCTGTCAATCACGAAAATTGGAATGAGGAAGAGGCTGAGGAAGCTTGGAATAAGTTTTATTCACAGATGAGTCCAGATTTTGCCTTGACTAAAATGTATGGAAACGACCGGGAGAGAGGTACGCTCAGGGTAACATCATTCTAAAAGAGGTGTACGATGAAGGGTCAGTTATGTTTTGTGGAGGTATATGTACACCCCACCCACCCCCCACGTGCTCCCACGTACGGAACTCCGCATCATTGAGAGTAAGTCACTAACAGCGGCACGAAATGTAACTGTGATTTTGGAAGAGATTGTAGCGCCATTTGCGGCTTTTTTGGAAGATTGATATATTTGTGTGTTATGCACCCCTTCGTTGAAATCAATGCTTCGAGGTGGTCAGTGCGCTAACCTATCCTGCCTCCGCTAATTTGAGAGATTTTAAAAACGCATTACAGGAAGAATAAAACGCAATTTCTTAAGAGTTTATTGATAACTTGATTAGGAGTATGCCAAGGAGAATGGAAGCAGCTTGAAGAGTTAGAGTGGGCAACATTAAGTACGGATTATACATAGCCCTCGTTATAGCCTTTGCTAAGCATTTATGAAAAAAAAATGTCAAAAACAAAATACGTGTGGCATTCGGTGACTGCCGCGGTCTTTACCTTTTGCATAGCATTTTTTATCAACTTATGCAATTATAATTATTTATTTATTTTATTTATGCAGTTAAGTCTTTGATATTAAATCAAGTTACACTTTTTGAGCGTGGTGACCGATAAGAAAACAATTTTTTTCTCTTATTGAATAAATGAGAAGTTAATATTGTTTAAAATATTTTTAATATCTTACAATACATGTAGGTTATTCAGGAATTTTTATCATTGAGTTAGCAGCTAGTGTACACGCATATGTCTAGTCGCACGCACACAAACACCGTGCCGAAGTCTGCCGAGTGCCGAAGTCTGCCGAACTGAAGACTATGCACGGCTTTCGCCAACGCCACACCTCCGTGCCCGTCGGAGTGGGGAGCGTGAGGTTTTTTTTCGTTACGGAATTTCTGGATTCGGTCCCCGCGCTCAAGGCCCGCGATAGAAGCTATGCAATAGCTTAAAAAAACCTTGTTTCTTTCCCGTAAAATTTTTCTTTTTTCTGAATTTGATTAATTTTTGTCATTGGATCGTTGGTTTTTTCGATGACTGCAGTTTTTAATTAACTAATAATAACTATAATTCAAATTAATAAATTTAATTGCCACAAATATCCATAATATTTAGTTTTTTACACACTTTTTTGCGTTTCTCAAAATTTGTCCATGAGCTTATATTAAAAAATCGACATACCTACCTACTTAATATGAACACATAACGCAATAAAATTATGATAAATGACAGCAAGTTATTTATCTATTAAATTAAGTTTTTCTGGTTAAAAGATATAAATACCAATGTTATTCAGGTGTTTCGTACATCTATTGAAGACGAATAATATGCTTAGTTACCTACATTAGGTGTTTAGAAAAAACCTACGGTACACAAATTAGACGATGAGCGAAATTGAGCGATAGCAAAAAGTCGTTATGTTGCCCCTCCGCGCAACACATTAGCGCATCTTATACTAAATATGTGTAATGATGTCAAAAATGGTTGACTTTATTCAATAATTAAAAGTTATTAGTTAAGAAATTAACTGGTTATTTTATTGGTTAAAAATATTGGTTATTTTTTTATTCAAACACACTCTTTAAGAATAAAATAACAAACAGCACTAAATTGTGAATACATAATTAATTCGCAATGGTCCCCCTTACATCTGGTACAGCTTCACAAGCAGTAAATTTGTTTTGGAATCTCCTCCTCCATTATTAAACTGAACTCAGAATCCCCACCTCTTACTACTTAGTAACACGGTTTTGTTCCCCTGGAAGTATAACAAAATTATTTTACATAGTTAAAATAAATTTACTTTCCTTAACTCCACCTCTATGCCCACCATATACTCCAACTATATGCCATGTGGTAGCGGGGTAACATGTTCAACTACTCCACATCATCAGAGGGAATTGAAACAGGTGATGAACAGCAGCACCTTTGTAATAACCACTCGAAATAAAAATCAGCTGCTGCCTTATCGCGTGGCAAGCGTTGTAACTATGGCAAATATCCACCTTAAGGGAATACATGGGGAAGCCTTTGTTCAGCTGTGAACTTTTGATGATGATGAATGAGTCTACTACTGAATATAAGTATTTTCTAGTACAAAATGCGTCAACTCTGCCATAAGTCGTGACATAGATAGCGAAGAATGCCTCGTTTCCAGTAAAAAGTGTCTCCGGTTCTCTACACTCACAATACTACACACAACATCAACATTTTACGCTTTTATTCTGTGATCCTACCCTAGTCGAGCCAACCTATTCTTATTACAACTATTTTACAATACAATACAATACAATAACTTTATTTCAGGCATCAAGGACTTAACCTAAAAATATATATAAAATATAAATATAACACTATTTAGGGAACTTTCTTCTTTGGCGCATCCCTGTATCGGCGAAACACTACCCCAGAGGCAAAGACGTATAAAAATTAAAAACATCTTAGCCCAGAGTGCCAGAGATCGGGAGCGAGGAATGTCTCTATGTATTTTGCAGGAACCTGGAGTACGTATGATTCGAAGTTCGTGGACCTATTAGACTCCAGACGCTGCAAATGTAAAGAGATCGGATCCTCTATGCGGCATCGGCTTCGTTCTTCCACGAAACGCAGGACGTCTTCTCCCGACGTACTTTTGTCCAAACGGGAGATGTAGAGCTGTATGGTAGGCTCCACAATACGCAGAGTTGTGCTTGCGTTTATTTTGGTCCACGCTGGTTACAAACGGCTCTACTACGTATAAATATTTTTTTTTTACAAAAAAGGTCCAAACGGACACGCAGTCCACCAGATGATAAGTAGAAGCTGTGGTTTATAGACCTACATGTATATCTACATCTAGCCTCGATTAAGAATCAAAATGCAGATACGTTGTCACCCCTGAGGGCTAAGATGGAATGTCCAGTTTCCAGTAAACTAGATCTCTACGCTCACTGTGCAAATTATAGCAGAATTAAGCTCATACAATGATCTTACAGAGCTCGTACGTTTTACGCTGGTATTCTGTAAAATCGTAGCCCTTCTCCAGTTGAACGGTGGGCATGCATTCGTGCTCGAATCATAATATAGCTACAACATGGCTCTACCACGTATAAAAAATCTAGATAACTTACTTAGGTAATGTTCAAGAAATTTGTTCATTCTCACAAGTCATAACATAATATTTGAATTGTATGATGCTTAGAAATCAAATATTAATAAAAAGATACTCAATAGTTTTTACAACAAGGTACATTAAGTTTTTGCATTTAAGTTGTTTATTTTGCTAGTTCGCAGATTACTAAACGTGTGGTTTCTCAAGGTCATCAATAAATCAAAACATGACGCCAGATTATTTAGTATAAGCATAGTAAAAACAGAATAATAGGCCATCTTCTAAGAAATGTACCGAACGCCGAATATGTGTGCGTGCCTGGCGCGTGACAGTACGGACTGGTACGCACGAGCCGCAGCACGAACAGAACGACACCTAAAGTCGAAAAGGTCTGGTCCAGTCGGGGACGGCCACCGCCTCACCAATCACCTTTGTTAGAAACTTTGTTGACTTTTAATAAAATTTTGATAGCAGCCATTTTTTGTTTTATTTTTTCTTTTTGTAAAATAAATTAATATATTGGTTGGTTTAAGTATATTAGCTTTTTATTAATAGGTTATATATATATATATATATATATATATATATATATATATATATATATATATATATATATATATATATATATATATATATATAAATACATAGGTACCTCATAAGTACATTAATTATCATATCACATCACATCAAATTAATTTTAATCACTAAATCTGAGCTGACACCACATGCTCAGTATTAATTTACTCGTACATATTTTGCTTATTTGAAACTTGAAACTTTTTTAACATACATTGATTCTTTGAGAGGAAACTAAAGAAATGATTAACAAATATGATGCACAGGTATCCGTACAGGTATCCGTATCCGTGTATTATGTTTGTAAATATTATAACTACTTATAAAACTAAATGAGACTTAGCTGTTAAACAAAAATACAGTGACAACCCTGCAACAGAAGGCATTTAAGTCTCCTAGAGTTATCCTACTATTCTGTTTTTACTATGGTTTAAATGTAGAATAAAATAATATTAGAATTAAAGAAAACTTAAACATTGATAAAGAAGTTGTGATGATCCTTGTGGATATACAAGGCTATTGGCATGAAATTAATTTGTTTTTCATATGTCTGCAATATTTTAGATTATTCAGTGACATCAGAAAATAAGCTAAAACTAACTTTCAAAAACCCATATTGAAAATAGATATACTGGTCAAATCACTATAAGGCATGTAATAAGAATATTAGATTTTTTAACAAATAAACATAACACATGAACACTAAAGCGAAGGCTCTACCAAAATCTATTTATAACACATCTCTAACCCTTAAACGAGTGGTTAATTTGTTCAATCTCTAAACAAATTGCCAACCTGGCGTTATATGTGTGGCCTTTAAAAATTGCATTCACTTTCTTTAAAAATAAGGGGTCATGTCTAGCATCAGCAAAAGAGACTGACAAAAGATACTGATGTTGTAAATCTACATCAGTATCTATTGTCAATCTCTCTCATTATTATTATTCAATTGTATAGTCCATAATGTGTATATTTAATAGAAAGGAATAGATTACCAAAACATCTTATTGAAAGTCATTTATGTTTGGACCCACGGTTCAGAAAAATACCTCTTTCCTCGGAACGAACCAGTAAGTAACCTAGCGGGAATTTTTAAAACATTATTTAAAAATACAGTAGAACCTTGATAACTTAAACCTCGGGAACGTTATAACCTCTGTAAATTCATAAAATTATGTGTTCCCTTCCATTCGGAGTCCAAAACCTCTTTTACTTAAAATACAAACCCTCTATAACATAATCGAATAATTTGGACATCGCACCTCAGTAACTCAAAGCTGTAACGAAGACGACCTTTGCAACTTCAATCATCTATCAATGAGTCATTTTAAATGAATGTGAAAACAACAAAGGTTCCCTGTGGACTATTGTTATTGCTTACACGTGTTTACCAAATGGCTTCAAATGTAAACAAGGCACAGTAACTTATTTGTATCATTAGCTTTTAGCCAAGATCCACCTACGATTATATCTATCAGCGAAGCAAGGAAAGCTGTAAACACTTTACGATCTTTTATAGAGCAATGCATGCAATTTTTACGTGGTAGAGCCATGCTGCAGTTATATTAATAGTATAGTTGTAGTAGGAATGGGTCGGCGCGACCGGGGAAGGACCACGCTCTCACAGAATACCAGCGTAAATGCTGCTGTATTTGTATGGTGAGTGTAGAGAACCGGAGACCCTTTTTTGCTGAAAACGAGACATTCCATCTTAGTCCTCAGAGGCGACAACGCATCTGTGTTTTGGTTCTTAATCCAGAAATAATGTAGGTGTCTATGGACCACAGCATCTACTTACCATCAGGTGGACTGTGTGCCCGTTTGTCCCCTTTATTCTATAAAAACATAAACTAAAATTTGTTAAGTGCACATTATGTAGTGTAAATTTTACAAAACAAACACGAAGTCTATTACTTACTTACCCACTGAATAGAAAACTTAAGCAATATGTTTATGAAACACCCCCAGTGTGGAGTCGAAGATACACACATTTCTCTTTTTTTCAGTTAGTTCGATACGTTCTACCTCCGCGTTACTTATATATCATATATATCACCACAAAGAAATGGGATCTCCTGATCTATTGGATCTGGCAGGTACCATGTTGTTACAAGGATAAAATCAACAACCATTAAAGACAAATACACAAACAAAATTTCGTAAAAAGAGGTTCTTATAGAGAGTTCATATATATATATAACTAATAACCGAAAAATTCATAAAATATTCAGAAGACTAACGCTGAAGTAGTCTTAGTTAATCGGTAGTAGCTTAAGTAATCTTAGCGGTATGCCGCCGTAGAGTCAACATCACCTGAAGATGCCTCGTGTAGAGGCGAAACACTAGTCTTCCCTAGAATAGTGGTATTGGGAGTAGTGTTGCTGGGATTAGTGGTAACGGGATTAGTGCACGCAATTGAAGGAGGGCAGGAGGTGCTCTTTAAACTAGGGAAGACACATCATTTTATTTAATTTAGCGGATGGTTGCAAAATAACTATTAATATATTTATTATAATTGATTTCCGCAAATTTACGCCTGATTCTATTAAATAACGATTTTATTCTCGATTCATTTAAATTAATGTAAGTACTCAATGTGATTGCAGTTTACGACCAAACATTCACAGGTTTACAACTATTTATAAATGTCCAAATTAATCCGCGAATTAACTCGTCCGTCACGCTTTATAACCGAAAATGCGACATTGATGTGCAGCCGTGCCGCATCCGAAATGTTAATTTGACGTGACGGCGTCCATCCTGTCCCTCCTGTGTAGCCCTATAAAAGATGAGACCAGAAGCATCGGAGCATAGTCAGTCAAAATGAAAAACTTAACTACTTTTGCCCTCGTTGCAATTTTGGCAGCCCACGCCTTACCTAACCGAGGTAAGCATACAAGGAATATGTTTGAATAAAGTATAACTACTTGTAATAAAAGTGATATTGAGATACGACCATTATTAATTGGTTAAACAATTATTTAGTCCTTTTTTATTTTTATGTTGTAATGGCATAATATGTGTTCTGGTGGTATTGGAAAGAAACCGAGAATTACCATATTACTGAGTTTATTTTGTTGTCATGTTTTTTATTGATTTTTAATAAGGCTTCCATTAGGCCTTTATATGGATGTATGTATAAATTTACATTTATATACAATAATAAACATGTTCTTTAGACGAACTCGAATATTATATTAAACATCATTATTGAATTTCATATTATCAAGTGCAAGTAAAGGATATTAAAACAATTCATAACTAAGAATTTAATACTTTTGTTTATATTAAGTTTGTAAGAATAATGGTGTCACCATGTCAACTACCAAACAGTCCTCCTGATGGTAAGCGGTTGCTAGGGCCCATAGACATCTATATCTATCCTCTTTTACGAATCTAAATGCAAACGCCTTGTCACCCGTGAGGACTAAGATGTAATGCCTCGTTTCCAGTAAAAAGGGGCTCCAGTACACGAATACGAAACACAGTAGCGTTCAGCTGCTATTTTACGCTGTTATTCTGTGAGTGCTTTTTTCTTCCCCGATCGAACCGACCCTTTTCTGCTACAAGTATACTCTACGCTACAAGTATACTCTACGCTACAAGTATACTCTACGCTACAAGTATACTCTACGCTACAAGTATACTCTACATACTAAGGTTTTTATTTAAATTTTTACTCGTAGCTGCACTAACTACTGCTTTCATCTTTACACTGCGGCCGCAGCGCGGCTCTATGCGTAAATATATGTATGTGTGTGATGCCCTAGTGGAATCTATATCAAAATTTACTAAATAATATTATTTTTGGGAAGCTCACAGTCCCAAAATGTTATATATTTCATAAAATCCCTTATTAAAATCCATAATTGCAATAATTTAAAAGTAATTATAAAATTATTATTTTTGATAATATTAGAAAGGTCACAAGGGGGCTACGAAAATAGCGGGTACGAGAGAAGTTACAACAATTTTGAAGGCAAAAACAATAATAGGGGATCAGGCAGCAGCAGTGAAAACGACTGCGATGAGAGTAATGGAAGCAGGTAAGTGTATTATTATTAGAATATAATTTATTGTACTTTACAATTTTAATATAAGTTAAATATACTATTTTCACTGACTTCAAAAAATGAGGGGGTTTTTTTAAGACTGTCTTTTTATATATCTATCTATATATATATATATATATATATATATATATATATATATATATATATATATATTTGTATGAACGTAGCATAACGCAATATCTTCGCCGATAGTGAACTTTTTTATGGAATAAACTCAACTTCAAGAGTGGTGCCACTTTTAAATGGTATGATATAAAAATAGGGGATGAATTTCTAATTGCCACCTTGACCTGGAGTTAATGTTTAATCCCCTCAAAAAATCAAACAATTGAACGTCAAAAATCAAAAAAATTAAAATGGTTTTCACAACAAAAACTTTATTAAATAGCTTCTAAAATCGGCGTTGAGACATAGTTTATTGAAGAACTTAAGTCCCGACTTGAGAAACTATTAAAATAAGTAAAAAATATTTTATTATTTTTAATTATTTTCGGCCAGCTTATACTTTAAAAAAAAGTCTATTGTAATTATCTTTTAACATAAATTAAAGTAAGGTTACTCGTATGTGCCACTGCTGTGTACATGACTCCTCTTATTTCTGAAAGAGTTTTTGGACAGGTCTCCGATGCTACCCCAATACCTGTTGGCAGAGTTCATGTAGAGGCAGATTTCGAAATAAACTGTCTTTAATTCATCAAATATGCAGGTGTCTTCACATTGTTTTCCTTCACACACTTTGTCTTTTAACCTACTACGCCTTTGCCTTTAACCTCTTTTTGTAGATTTAATAACAATAATAATATTTATACTATACACGTATAATATATTGTACATATTCCACATATATTTTATTTTATCTTCCTTCTTTATTATTTTTAATATATTTATACAACCCAATGAGATGGGAATTGAGAATAAATAAGTGGTAAATAATAAAATAAAAAAAACACATAATTTGACATTAGTTTATATGTACTTATATGATTAATAAAACTATTAAAATTTATTATTATTATTAGTAGGTATTAATATTTTTACCAACATTAAAAAATGTCAAAATACAATATCCAGAAACTACTACTAAAAGTATTACTTTCAAATGTAACCATTACATTTCTTTCACTTTACTTTAATATTTCTATATTCCACTATACAAAATTGCAAATTGCATAATATGATAAGCTTCCCTTCTCACATATCTTAGCCGGTAGCTGACTAACAGGACGAAATGCTATAAGAAAAAAAAACGAATATGGAATATATAATATAGAGCATTAAATAAAATGTATATTTAGTTAAAAGTTCGCTGAATGTAGTAATAAAAATCCATTCATCCATTTCAGCCTATAAAGTCCACCGCTGAACATACGCCTCCCTCATAGATTTAGCCATAGTTGCCAAGTATAGCGGGCGTGTTGGCAATCGCAGTTTATTTATTTTTTTGTTATAAAGAAGACCTGCACCTGCCATCTCCCGCTTCAGTTCTCCTCCGTCGCCTCTTAGGACATCCACGGGATGATATGGGGTAGAGTATATTCTTACACCATCACCACTCGGTGATTGTCTTGGTCTCTGAATATGAATGACTGTTAAAATTGGAACTGGAAATAATTAAGAAAAAACATTAAAGTTACAGCAACAACCGTGAGAAATCCTACGATAAAGATGGGCATTACATGAAGGATAATTATCAGGATAGGCACTTCTCTGCTAAAGCTTTCGCTGCTGCACCCGATGCCGCCTCCGCTCAATCTTATGATTATGACCGCAAGGACAGCATTTTTAATTAATATCCTCTAAATTTTCCTATCGACGCCTAAAAAAAACGCAGTAACGTTGATCACGCTTAAATTAAATTTTATATGACACCTTGTTCTAAAACATTTTTTAATGGCATTATGTATTTATATTTTACTTTATAGTTAATTATGTATAGAGTAGCTTAATTATTAACGTTGTAAAATTTTTGTTTTTCTTTTTAATATTGTTAATACAGATAATATAAATAAGAATAACTGTTTTAAACCAATTTTTGTGATTATAATAGTTATAAAAATGTATTCACTCGTTCTTGCTGTTCTTGCTTTATATACAATAAAAAGATAATCAATACTTACCAGACCCAAACAGTGGTTGCTGCTAAGATATATCATAATGTCGGATCATAATTAATTTAATAAACACTTTATATTATTATACACGTATGATTATTTACCACGAATCCATTGTCTCATCATCATCATCATCATCATTACAGCCCTTCACAAGTCCACTGCTGAACATAGGCCTCCCACAAGTAACGCCACAAAGCACGGTCCTGAGCCACCTGCATCCATCGACTTCCTGCATGTCTTACCAGGTCGTCACTCCATCTAGTGGGGGTTCGCCCTACACTACGCCTACCGGTACGAGGCTGCCACTCGAGAACCTTTCTTCCCCATCGGTTATCGGTTCTTCGAGCTATATGGTCGGCCCATTGCCACTTCAGCTTACTAATCCGTTGGGCTATGTCGGTCACTCTGGTTTTACTGCGGATATCCTCATTTCTGAGTCTATCACGCAGTGAAACTCCGAGCATAGCCCTCTCCATAGCTCGCTGAGCGACCTTGAGCGTCCTCATACGGCCAGCGGTGAAGGACCACGTCTCAGATCCGTAAGTCATCACTGGCAACACGCACTGGTTATACACTTTAGTTTTCAGAGATTGAGGTATACCTGACGAGAAGATGTGTCGTAATTTCCCGAACGCTGCCCAGCCGAGTTGAATCCGTCGATTGACCTCTCGGTCGAAGTTGGACTTACCTAGTCGGACTATTTGTCCCAGGTAAACGTACTCGTCAAAAACTTCGAACATAGTGCTCCCAACAACTACCGGCATAGGTGTGACATGGACATTAAACATGATCTTTGTTTTGTCCATGTTCATCTTAAGACCTATCCGTTGGGAGACACCATTGAGGTCATTGAGCATAGTGCTAAGGTCCTCCAGCGATTCTGCCATAAGAACTATATCGTCGGCAAATCGAAGGTAAGTGATGTACTCGCCATTGATGTTAATACCGTATCCTTTCCAGTCCAGTAACTTGAAAACGTCTTCCAACGCAGCGGTGAAGAGTTTCGGGGATATAACATCACCCTGTCTTACACCTCTCTGCAGTTGGATAGGTTTCGTACTCTGGTTCTGTACTCGGGTAGCCATCGTAGCCCTACTGTACAAACACTTCAGCACTTCCATATACCGACATTCAACTAGGCACCGCTGAAGAGACTGTAGCACCGCCCAAATTTCGACGGAATCAAAGGCTTTCTCATAGTCCACATACGCCAGGCAAATGGGCAGATTGTACTCTTCGGACTTCTGTACAATTTACCGAAGGCTATGTATGTGGTCTATGGTACTGAAGCCTTTTCGGAAACCGGCTTGTTCGGGAGGCTGGAAGTCGTCGAGTCTGCGTGCGAGACGATTCGTAATGACTCGAAAACAGCACGTAGACGCGGCTCAGAAGGGAAATCGGTCTGTAGTTCTTCAAGAGAGCGTTGTCGCCTTTCTTAAAGAACAAGACCACCGCGCTTCTGCTCCACGCCTCCGGAGTAGTGCCAACATGGAGGACGGAATTGAAGAGCTTCTGAAGGACTTCAAGTACCGGTGTTCCACCCGCTTTCAGAAGCTCCGCTGTAATTCCATCCTCGCCCGGGGCCTTGCCGTTTTTAAGGTGGTGGAGAGCCATTCTAATCTCACTCAGACTGACGTCCGGGATATTATCGAAATAGTGTCGGATAAGACTTGCTCTTGGATCGTTACTCACACTTGCGTGTGGCTCCAACGATGATGTGTACAGCTGCCCATAGAACCTCTCAATCTCACTCAGAATCTCAGGTGTCCCGGAAACGATGTTGCCACACTCAGTCTTCAGCCTTGACAGTTGGCTCTTTCTGGCAGACAGATCTCTGGCAAAGACTTTGGAGCCCTGGTTCCGCTCCATCGCTTCTTTAATACGAGCAGTATTAAAGTTGCGTAAGTCTCGCCGCATGCATTTGGAGATCTGTCTGTTCAGTTGCCTGTATGCTGTCAAATCTGTTGACGATTGCAGCCTCATCTCCCGTCTAACAGCCATGAGATTAAGAGTGTGATCGGAGAGTTTTTGTGTTCTTCTGCGGTGGGTCTTGCAGAACTTAGCTCCGACCGCATGGACAGTTTCCACGAGCTTGGCATTCATATCGTCCACAATATTGCAATCTTCTAGGCACTGAAAGCGGTTTTGTAACTCGATCTGAAAGGTTTCGGGATTCTGGATTAGAGCACGAGGGGGGACGGAGCGTTGACTTCATTAGACGAGACCTCTCCAACTTATCATTTAGGTTCAGTGTGCCTCTAACCATTCGGTGATCGCTGCCAGTTTTCACCCTTGCGATCACTGAGACATCACTGAACAGTTGGCGTCTGGTCGTCATAATGAAGTCAATCTCATTTTTTGTCGAACCGTCGGGGCTCGACCAGGTCCACTTCCTGTGGGGCCGCTTCTGGAAGAAAGAGTTCATCATAAAGAGTCCCTCTTTCTCCATAAAGTCGGCCAGCTGCTGGCCCCTTCGGTTTCGTTGCCCTACTCCAAATTTCCCCACCCTCAGCTCACTGCTTTCTCTTGTGCCTAGTTTTGCGTTGAAGTCTCCCATCAACACCGTGTAGTGGGTTTTGAAGGAATGCATGGCTCTGGAAATATCCTCATACATTTCCTCCACCTCCTCATCGGGATGTGCCGAGGTTGGTGCGTAAACCTGTATGACCTTCAGTGAATACCGTTTGGTGATTCTGAGTATCAGGTACGCGACCCTCGTCGACACACTCCCAATCTTTACAACGACGATAAATCCGACACCTCCTTGGGACAGATGGTCGCCCTCCCGGTGGTAGAACAAGTTGCCGGACTCGAGGATTGCCGTATCCTCCCCCCTCTCTTTGGACCTCGGATAATCCAATAATATGCCAGCGCAACTTGTCTACCTCTTCTTCCAGCTCCAGTATCTTCTCGTCAGTCCTCAGACTGCGTGCGTTATATGTTGCCAGGTCGAGTCGTCGTAGGTGGCAACCGAACCTCCACCGGAGATTCTTAGCACCCCCTGCCCCGCCGTTACCATGGTCGCCACCGTAGCCTGGAATAGCGGGGCCGCCGGGGACTGGGGGCAGTTTTTTTTGCGTCGTTGCTCTTGGGGGGATATTTGCCAGAGTTGCCACGCTTGGCGAGCGGGTTGGCAACCGCAGTTTTTTATTATAACACAGTTGTTATCAGAAAGATGCTGCTGCCCATCTCCTGCCTGTCTCCCTCTGTCGCCTCTTACGACACCCACGGGAAGATATGGGGTAGTGGATATTCTCAACCGCCACTAAACGGCGAATCCATTGTCTAGATTCTTCTAATGTAGTAAGATTATCTTTGACATCCTAACCAATTTTCATTCTCACATGATGAAAACGAAAATTAAAAAAAATCATTTTACGTTTCTAACATCAGAATATAAGAGACGGCCTCTTTCTCAACGAGTGGTCACTAAAAATAACATCAAAGTTATCCTTCTCAAATTTTAAGATTCCTTTCGTTTGTAAGAAGCCACATTTTTTAAACTAATAAAACATCCATTAGGCAAAAAATGAATAATTTTCCATCGACGTCAAGCAGCATGCAGTGCCATATGAGCCGCAAGACTACTTTAAAAATAGAATGATATCTTAATCTCTTGGCCTCTGAAAACGATATAACCGCCCATTACGATTGCCGATCTCCTGTCAAGCGTGGCAATCATTGCAAATCCTCGTTACAACGTGAAAGGTGCATGTCCAGCAGTAAACTTCACGGGCTGTAAAGAAGAAGATGGAGGTGATACTACAAACTAGACATGTTTCAATCGTAAATGATTCGTTCATTTGATCCGGGTCGCAAATGATTGCAATTACATTTTTAAACGTTCCGGATCAAATGATTGACAGTACCTGCGATCGAAGAGTATAATTATATAAATTCTTTATAGATTGTGACAAAGTACCGTGTTTACTATACATGGTAGAGCCGTGTAGAGCCGTGGTAGAGTAGTATAATTGTACGAATAGGTCGGCTCGACCGGGGAAGGACCACGCTCTCACTGAATACCAGCGTGAAATAGTAGCTTAATGCTGCTGTGTTTCGTATGGTGAGTATAGAGAACCGGAGACCCTTTTTACTGGAAATGAGGCATTCCATCTTGATCCTCACGGGTGACAACGCAAATGCATTTAGATTTGTGATCGAGGATAGATGTAGATATCTATGGGACGCAGCAAACACTTACCATCAGGTGGACTGTGTGCTCGTTTGCCACCCTATCCTATAAAAATAAGTACCACTGTTTCTTGATGCTAATAACAAATATATGACCGAAGGGTATTATTTTTAGAACATTTGTACACTTCAAACACAGAAATACGAACAGAGATGCTCTCTGTAAACGACAATTCACGCTTGAAGAATAAGTAAAAGACCAATAACATTTGCAAGCTTCAATTGTAAAAACGTGAAGCGCATCGTGGATAGTATTTAAGAACTCTGTCGACGCGCAGATTTAATTGCACTCCAGGAGACTTGGCTGTTACCGGACGAGATACCTTATCTCAGCTCGATCAATGATGGTTTTGGATCGACTGGTACTTCTGCTGTGAATACGACGCAGGGATTACTGTGCGGTCGATCTTCTGGGGGAGTTACCCTGTTATGGAGAAGTGCAGTTTTCCATGACGTAAATGTGTTGGGTTGCGATAATACTC